CTACAAAAATGGCAGATACATGCACAGTATCTGACAAACCCCCTTTCCCACGATCTTCACGTGGTATACCTGCACCCCGGCCCACCAAGAACACAACAGAAAGAACAGGAAGCAGAAAAAAAAGTCTCACTGGGTAAGGATGACGTTTCATCTAACTGACCAGGTGCTGCACGTTTAACACACAGGCACATTTAGCAGCCTCACACGTAGCAACTCGGGCAATCTATCACCACTAAGAAGTTTCTCTAGCTTTTCACAGCTGGAAATGTGGCCCTTTAGTCTTATCACCAAATTTTACACAGGTCATAATGATTTTAAAAAACATATGACAGTGAAAAAAAGCATGCAAGCTGTTTTTGCACACTGATGATGTAATATGCTGTAATACTAACAAAAACCATCTGTCCTACGAAAGCAGCAATACAAAAATAGGGAATTTTCTCAAACTTGAATGGTAAGTCATCATTTAAAAACTGATACAATATACATATCTCCTTGCCAACATGGAACTTAATGCTGTTCCTCTTCCAAGATTCTCTGAGATACAATCAGCTTCTCCCATGCCTGCACTATCATTAAGGCCCAAGGCAAGTTTTTATGACTGCTCCCACGACTACTCATTCACTTCTTTCATTCTACAGAGACAAAGTAGCTTACCAACAAAGGTGGTTTGTAAACTGAAGCTGGTCAAACAGCACTCATAAGAGAGAAGAGGAAATTCCTTACACACAGATGATGCAAGCCTTTTGAGATTAAAGGCCCCTACACTAAAACTACTGCTACTCAGTTGAAAAGTGCAAGTCCTCAGGAAACCATCCACAGGAAAAGATGACAGCATAATGGAGCAGTAGTGTAGAACAGGACAAGACAGAGTTCTCAGATTAGGAAAAAAAAAAAGGGAAAATGAGATTTAATAGATTACAACTCAACTTTTCCAGTGTTTCGTTCTGCCAGAAGTATACAGGTGTGTTATTTTTAAATTCCATTTCCTTCTCATCTCTACCACAGGGGTTCAAGAAGGTTGGGTTTTTTCAGTATGTGCCACTGTTTTCAAGACACATTCACGAGTGGAACAGCATTTTACCATCTGAACATATAAGCCATTTACCTGTTCAGTAGTATCAGAGAACAGTACCTCAATCTCATCAAGAATAAGATGGCAAAGTCTACCAAATAATAATCTGTGATGTTCAAACAGTCTCAGGAAGCTACACGGTGTAGTCACAATTACTTCACCTACAAGTAGGAAGAAAGACTATTAAAATTATCTTATAAACTTGAGGGAGTTCTACCAAGTTGGTTATTTTTTTGGTAAATAGAGGATACTGAAACCCATTTTCTACCTTCTGGTCAACAATCATTTTCAGTTTGCTTGTATTTTTCTACCCCTACATGGCTTCAAGACCCAAGTGCGTAAAACTGAGTTTTTGAAAGAGTGAAAGGTCTGAACATTGACAAGTTTACAAAGCTGGATGCTATTTCATTTTCCAGTAAGGTAATGGAAATAGAGATAAGAACTTCAGAACCAGATAGACAAAAGGTAAATATTTAAATACATGCAAGAGCAGCCTTTAGGAATGTTCAGTTTTAAAAACGGAATAAAGCACACATTGCAGTTTAGATATCTACACACACATCTATGTGTGTATGTAAACACACCAATCTTAATCTGTGTAAATACACCAACAGCCATACTAATGAGAGATTAGAATTCATTCACCAGGCTCTTAAACTTTATTGATGGATGTAAGAATACAAACTGCTAAACCTGCAAGTTTTAGACAAACCTTCGTAGTTTTATCCACATTTCTTGTCTCCTTGGCAAAAAGAGCCACTTTCAAAAATGCAATTATTACTTAAGGCTTAATAAAAAGATCAAACAAGCAGAGTAAAACTAAGTATTTAATAAACACATTTAAGTTGGACAAGTCTCCCAACAGCTCTCTTACTACTTCTATGCTTCTTCCAGCTTTTACTATTTCTGTGCTTCCTTTTCTCTATGGAGTATCCACTGCATACTACTGCAGTTATATAGAATCACTGAATGGTTTGGGTTGGAAGGGACATTAAAGACCATCCACTTCCAACCCCCCTGCCATGGGCAGGGACACCTTCCACTAGACCAGGTTGCTCCAAGCCTCATCCAGTCTGGCCTTGGACACTTCCAGGGATGGGGCATCCACAGTTGCTCTGGGCAACCTGTCCCAGTGCCTCACTACCCTCTCCGTGACTTAAATTTTATTGCTATAAGCAAGTTGGAAAGCAACACTAAAAAAATAAAGTTGGACATTTATGCAACTTTGTCTGCAGAGAACCTCCCTTTTAATTCTTCACTTTTCCAGTATTATTTTTAAGAATAGAGAAGAATTGTTAAGCACATAAGCAAGTAGCCTCCGATGTGTCCCCCAGATATTTGCCAAATCTAAAAAAAAAAAAACCCCACCCACATGTACTTGAAATGCTTCTGTGTTCGTTAAAAATATTTAAGAACATATGCATCTGCATTACTGTGGTGAGCTGACTGCAGCCAGCAGCTGAAAGGCTCACAGATGCTCACTCACACCCCCTGCCCCCGGTGGGACAGGGGAGAGAACAGGAACTGCCAAAGCGAGAAAGCAGATCACCCCCACCGTTATGCAGGGTTGTGTATCACTCTGGTCAGTTTGGGTCAGCCGTCCAGCCTGCGTCCCCTCCCAGTTCCCTGCTCACCCCGGCCTACTCAATGGGTAGGCAGCTATTGTGAAATCTGGTTCTAAGTCAAAAACATCGACAATTAATCCTAATTCAGGATGACCTTCAGCAATCCCTACCACTAATTTGGCTAAAAAGTAATTATTATGGAACCTACACAAAAGATTCTGAACATGTAAATACTCAAACAGCTTTAATACCATTTACTGTTAAATGGTACTGCTGTATCACTACAGAGTTAGGGTGTTAAAGAAATAGAATTACCACTTCATAGAAGTATAAATTGCTTCTTTCGCAGTTTCCTGCAATTAAGGCAGCCCACATTGTTTTCAAGCATAGTTAAGAAGATAAAAAGTATTCTTACATCCTCGGATTTTCACACTTCTAGCTTCTTCTTTGTTCTGCCCAAGTATTATCAACATTGGATGAAGCTGTCTGGAGCATCTCTCATATGTTTTCAGTAGTTCAAAAATGAGTTGTGCCTTCTTCCACCCAGGACACAAAATAAGTGCTAGTGGCTACATACATACGTATAAAATTTTACACCATAGTATTAGACAAGAGTTCAGAACCTTAAGAATTTTACTACTTCAACATTTAGGGCAAAAATCTGCAACACAGGCCTTTAAGTACTTAAAAGCTGAAGCTTTTAGTACTATATCACATCGTAATATTTAAAATAGCTAATATGAATTTTAATGACTACATAATACGCCCTTAAAAACAAAGCTTCAAGTATCAAAGTGATATGACATTAACCAAGGTATTACTTGATAATTAAGTTTTAGACTCCCACATTCACACAGTTCATCTCCATAAGCCTCTAAGCAGAGGGGTTATACAAAGTGGCAAGCATCAAGAAGATACACTAAGATCACATTAAATGTACACTTTCTAAACACCCACTATCTTTTGGATCATTATCCTACACTGGCACTTTAGAACAGAAAATCTGTTACTACTCGAATATATACATACCCCATTGCTCTTTCGCAAGTGTCTGTAGCAACTTTCCAACTGCAAAAACGTAAGAACTGGTGGAATATATAAGAAGGGATCATTTCCCTGATAGGAGATAGCAACTACATCACATCCTTGAGCTATTGGTGGCCAACAGTAAGATTCAGTGAAGTTAGGGCCTGAAAAGTTTTTCCGAGTAAGCTCCTACAGAAAGAGAAATTAAGAGTTCCACATGAAAACTGTGTACATAAACACTAAACAAGACAAAACACAACACTGAGTGATTTAAAAGCTTTTGACCCACTACACAGTAAATGTCCTTAACATACAATATGTAAAAGTACCAGTCTGATGGGTTAAATTATTATTAAATTATTATTTAACTCATCAAATCCCACGACTTGGGGCAGTAGCTGATATACCAGAAGAAATGTGTACAATTCTGATCTCTCCTGAAGCTTCATTTATTCAGCCCCACGAACAACCTCCTAGACATTCCTCAATCAACACTCGGTACTACTGTAATATTTACTATCTACGGTTGGGGTGTGTCAAAAGACATTCAGTGTAATGTGTTACATTAGCATTACCTTTTTCAGCTCATAAAAAAGGGGTGCTGTTTCCAGAACTGATGATGGCTCAATTTTGTTGCTAAGAAAAACAAAGTTTCTTTCTTCACTAAGATTTTGAAAACTCTGAAAACGTATGACAGATGACAAAGTTTAGCTTACATACAGCTCAATGCATTTATTATATTTCAAAAAAATGGTATTTTGATGGAAAACAGCCAAAGAAATTGTAAATACATTTTAAATATGACTCATACATACTTCTAAAGTCTGTTACACGGACCAGTGGTAAGACAAATAAATCTTTCTTTAAGAAACACTGAGTATCAAGCTTATTTTAACACAACTGTCTTAAACCATTCAAGCAAACATCCTGTATGTTCTGTGTACAGCTAGAACAAAATCAAAATACAGTCAAAAAAGACAACTAGTGAAACTTGCTGTTGTGGGTTGGCCTCGGCTCACAGCCAAGTACCCACATACCCATTTACTAACTCATTCTCCCCTTTCAGAGGGATGAGGCACAAAAAAAAAAAAAAAAAGAGCAAGCAAGAAGATTCATGGGCCAAAATAGAGATAGGGTTGTTACTTAAGAGTTACTGATACAGACAAAGCAGACCAACTTTAGGTTAGCTTAATGTGCTGCCAATTAATATGAGTACTGAACTGGTAATGGAAAACAGAAAGAAACAGAACTTTTACCCCCTTCAGAAAAACACCCCATTCCCAGGCTCAACTTCACTCCAACCTCCTCTCCTCTTACAATCAGCGCAGGTTACGCTCAGTCCCACCACTGAGGCAGTGAGCAGCACAAGGCAGGGACTGCGGTCAGAACGTAGCAGTTTCTGCTGCTCCTTCCCTCTGCTCAGTGTGGGTCCCCCTCAGACCGGAGTCCCTACAGCTACACCCGCTCCAGCATGAAGCACCTCCTATTCCCCTGACCTCGGCCCTGCCTGTTTGTCCCTCCCCCCACAGCCCCCCGCCACCCCACATTTTTTGCGCCTTCCTACATATGTTTTCACAGAGGCATCACAAACTTGGTTGGCTCAGCTCTGGCCTGCAGTGGGTCTCGTTGCTGGTAAAGCTGGAGTCAGCCCCTGACCTCCTTCTACAAAGACCACTCCTGCATCCCCAACACCACCAAACCATCCACATACACACATTACGCTTGCACAAGAGAAGGTAACTGAAAGCCAGTGCTTGAAATACCTGTTGGTCATCTTCAACTACATGTGCCTTCGGAGGATCAGAATTTAAGAACTGCAGAAGCCTGAGAAACGTGGAAATATTAAAGCCAACATAAATGCAATTTATAAATACCACTGATACTACCAAAATGTCACGAAGCACTTAAATTACAAAATATTTCTGATATATTACCTATGCCAAGGAGAAAAACCCTCCAACATGAAAGAAGGAATAAAAAAAGTACCATTTCGAAAAATCTAAGACTAAACTTTAAGTGTCTGAAAATACTCCTAAAGATTTCTTTTTAAACAAAGTTAATTGGCAGGTTCCTCAACTTTGTAAGAAAATCCAACTGGACTTTAGGAAAAAGGTTTCATTTTTTTGAAACTTGAAGAAACAATGTATTTTTGCCCCAGTTAAAAACAGAATTGAACAACCACTCCTTGGGGTTTGTACATATGCATCAACTAACATTCAGCATAGTGAAAGCACTGCACAAATTCATAGTCATATTTCATGTAGTTTTAAAACTTTGTAAAGTACACTAAAAATAAAGCAGCTTCACATTTCGCATGCAAAAAAACCACTTCCCCATCATATCCTTGTTGTCAAGCTATTGTTTAGAAAGAAATGCTATTTTTATTGTACTCTACATAAGTATCAGCAGCTTCAAATTCCTTTTTTCCCCCAAAAAGCATGTGCGTGCATCTTCTCTTACCCTCTGCCCTTTTAACTGCCTAAGAATAGCAACTGGAAACACACTACAGCTCCCGATCATCTGAGAACATTACCATGCTGCACCATACCTGTCTGTGTGTACTGCTGTGTTTCCCTGGAAAGGCAAACCTGGAATTGCTTTGACAATCTATCCAGAAAAGGAAAACATGTTTTTAGCACTAAAATAATGTTCCAGAGCAACATTTTAGAAAAAATTACTTCTTTAGCCTACTGAGTTGAAAGTGGTTTTCTAACCTAACACTAGGATTCTCCAAATATTTTGGAGAATTTTTGTACAAATTATAAGTTTGCCTGAATAAGGCAACAATTGTGATATAACAAACCTGAGAAAACTCCCCAACTTGTTATGCAACAGTATTTTCTTTACTAAGAATCAAGCATGTGACAAGAACACCCCCCACAAAAGAGAAAAATCAGTTCATGGTCACATCTCAAGCTACAGTTCTATCTGGGAACCTGAGCTAAAATGAACACACCCCGATTAGTTTTTAAGTATTTTCAGTTCGAAAACAACGTTGAGAAGAATTGTGGAAAGCACATACGCTGCAGAAAGGAAGAAAAACAGAGTCAGGTTACCCAGCTGCACACTCAGAAAACAACGCACACGAGCTTCAAACTGAACAACACTGCAAACCTGCAATGGACTAACCAACAGCAGATACTGGATCCAGAGTTTGCCCAAAGACGTCTAGTTCTGAACAGGGGATTTTGTAATGTTTGTCACTAGTCACCAGTAATCGACAGGCATGATGTGGTCAGACTTGTGTCACACAAGTGGCTAGTACGGCTGAGTAGACTGTTTGCAGAAGGGTGTGACAGTAATACCGCTCTGCTTCAGTAACAACCTACACTACCAGTTTCTCCATCATTCTTTCCAAAATATTTTAATAAGGTATTACAGCCTAAGTTCAGGAGTGGTTTTCATTCTTCAATTCTCAGCTGAGCCAAAAAGTAACTTTTGTAAAACACTTCTGATGTCGGGGGGAGAAAAAGAAGTAGTTCCATTGCGATGGAGAACCACATTTCTCCTTTAAAGCATCTAGCAGCAGAGAACATGGAACAGCACACAGGCTCTTAAAAACTCTTACACTCAGCAGTGATTATCTTCCTAAAATCTATTGGTTTGTTTTCCTTCCTCCCATGGACATGGTAATAGTTCCAACTGCAGTTCAGTTTAACACCCAAGAAGAAGCACTAACCTTTTCAAAAGAACGGGGGGGGGGAAAGAAGAGAAAATAGGAAGAAACCAGATCAGACATTAAAAGTATTAAGACAACAAATAAGCAGAGACTCCAAGGAATGTTTAGCACGGTCAGCATAACTACTTTGTTTTCAGGGAGACATTAAAATTTACATTTTTATATGTTAAGAAAACCGAAGACAGCTAGAGTCTTCACAGAACTATAGCAAAGGAGTGCAACAGGAGGCACAGCCTTTTCAAGGGCCATAGTACCATTTTCTCTTATTTTTTGCCATTTAAAACATGAAACTGGAGTAGAATACTCTTTTCAGTGTAGTAAGAATTAGTGCAGTCCCCCATATCTGTTACACAGAAGAACAAGCTAGATGACTACAGTACTCCTCATCTGTCCTACATGTGTTTAATTCAGTTCATCCTTGACAATTTAATACAAAATACAACACTTACAGAGGCAGTACTTTCATTTAGATCTGTGCTTGACCTTTGGCATGTCTCTTCAAAAACAGAACTGGAAACAGCAAGATCTAAAAGAAAAGTAACAAAATGCAGAAACCCATTCCTGATTATCTAAACATATAAAAATCTAGTGTTTTTATTTACAGTGGGTTGTGACTGACTTCAGTTGCTTTTATCATTTTCTAATAGCAAAAAGGATAATCAAGGAAGTTATCTTTACATGACAATAACTATACAGACGAACTGAGTCAAGTTGCACTCTAAAAGTAAGAAAGACTTGAATCAGTGTGACAATTTATGGTAAACATTAGTTTTAAGATGACCTCTGTTGAAATAAATCCCTCCAAACTCAAAAAAAACCCCAGTAATGTTTCATTGATCAATGCTACAAGTAATTTCAGTAATATCTAATGCTATTAAGCATATCAACAAGTGCCCCTGTAACTCACTCTCAGCCTTTGTCTTACATAGTACAGACAGCTTTACGGTATTGCGGCATCTGACTATTTGATTGGTCTTTGTAAAGTCAGATACATAAGCACTGGATGTTAGGAGGACACCATTTCATCCAGTTGTTGGATTTGAACTAAGACAGGAGGTTCAATATATCCAGTGAAAGTCACATGACACACTGCACACATGATTGTTTCCAACACACACAGTTCCCACCTGTTTCAAGACCTGCTGATAGCCTCTCCTGAAACAGCACTGGCCTGAAAGCAAGTGCAGGATTAACAATTTTCACTGGAAGAGGCTCAGTATTTAATGATGTTCGGTTCTCCTGATAATCTGCAGAACTCCCTGTATCCTCTTTAGCTTCCTCAAAACAAGCAAACCTCTTTAAGACAAGATCATCATTTACACACACCTAAAAAAAAAAAAAACCCAAGATCTTTGCTGACCAGCTTCAACAAGCAATCACTACCACATACCTTAGGATTCATTTGAAGCTTTAAACAGCAGTACGACATAAGCAGTATCAGCAAACACTTTCTGAAGAATATTAACTCCAAACAGGAAAGTCATATCTTCCTGCACGTTCTCTACACAGATGATTTTTTTTTATTGAATGTGCATTAAGATTTGGCAGAAAAAAGTAACACTAAACCTAAAATTTCTTAATTCCATTGGCTCACAGATCAGCGACACTATTGTCAACTGGGATTCTCAACTCAGAGAAGACATTGATATTAATATGTACCTTCAAAGTTACCGCCTACAGCAAAGACCACAGCTCCACTGGTAAAAGCCTTAGTAAACCACTCCAAGTAGAAGTAGTATTCAAATAAATTAGTCTGTATCTACCAGACAGCTGCTTAAGGTCTGACAGTAGCTAACAGCAGAGATTGAGCTCAAGTTACATATTCTGGGAAGTGGAATTAGGGTCTGTTTGTTTTTCCCCAAAGGTCTGAGGGATCAGTCTTATGCAAAAGCAAGTGTGAACTTCTATTTATTTTATAATACTATGCAGCTGCCTTATTGAAACATCTTTAGGTACAATACCACGGAAAGGTGCAGAAGTGCACTAACTCATCCACACAGTTGTCCATTTGAAGTACTTGCTGGACTTAAGTGAAGTCAACACCTTCCAAATGAGATTTCTGCCTCCTGGAATGCCTCCAGAAATTTACAAGCAACAGAAGTATAAACCAAAGCCTCTAAGAAGTTGATGTTTTTGTTCCTACTATATCAGGTATCAGACAAAGCTCACTTGCAAGTAACCATTTTCAGCCTTCAACTGATTACAGTGTTGTAGCTTACATAGCAAAGTGCATAAACAGGTTTGTAGATGGGACAAGTGTCTTACCTTTTCATCTTTTACTGTCACGTAAAGAAAAACATCAAAAGTGTTGTCTTTGACAGCACATAACTTGGCTTTCATTTGGGTAGTTGCTGAATAAACACAATTGCACAGATTAAACCCTTATCAAATTATCAGTATTTTTCACTTGTACTTTGAGATAAACAAATATAGGATTCACAATTAGATGCATAACCTGTTTCTTCAGAGACGCTGCTAGTACAAATGTAGTAACTTTTAAACAAAACAAGAAAGTAACAAGGCCATAAAAGAAGTATGAAAATGAAGCTGTCCTTAGCCTCTGAAGGAAGACCAAGAGCCAAAACAGGTTAATGGCCTCTGCACACAAACTAGCCTTAGTTCTACATTAAGAGTCTCAGTTCATCCTTTAGCCTCTTACAATCTGTAGTATAAATGCATACTTCCCAACCTGACATTTAGTCTTCTTGAACTAAGTTATATTTGCACACCTGCATGCTCTTCATTCACGTTAGGTGCTTTATTCAAGCAAGCATAGCTGATAGAAGTCTGTCAGTACATTCTGAGGCACCACTGCTGCACACACTAATGGAGTGCTAACAATTTAGAACCACTGTATATTACTACTTATGGTGGAGTCTGGGAATGCCTATAAAATGAAATTTAATGTTCTTATTACTCCCTACTAACCTTTACTCTCCACAGAAACAATCATTGTGTGTGGGGAGAGAGAAAAGCAGTAAACAATGAGAAAGTTTTACCTTTGAGAAGGTTTTGAAAATACCTAGTAGCAGCACTATCCCATCTTTTGGCTGGTCTAGGAAATTAAACACAATCAGTTATTCCACGTTATCAAAAATTAAAATGGTAGTTTTGGAGAAAACTTTGGATGCACGTAAGAAAATTATTTCAAGTCATGCCAAACCTTAAAGAGGTGCACCAACTAAAAAACATTCTGAACAGTAACATTCTGCTAATGTAACTTCAGCCTTGATAATATTGTTCTAGCTCATCCATAAAATGACCAAAATTTACTGGATATTGCTTTGCCAAGGTATTATGGCTTACATCCAACATAAAATATGACGGCTAAGAATGAAATGGAATAACCAAAACCAAAGCCAGATTCCACTTGCGGATCATATTAATTAAAGAGGTGTTGAGCAATTTGGAACAAGCACTTAACCACTGAAATGCTGGGGACTGGAAGGTCTGTAGCAGCAAATCTAGTTCACCCGTTACCATGTTCTGTAACTTGAAAGAATCAAACAAAGAGCATCGTAAACAAAACGTCAATCTACTACCTTTGATCATTCACATCGATGGCCCACTCAAGATGTATGCTATTCCTACCCAAACTATACTAGTATTTGTTCTGTCAGAACAATGGGAGTGACATACCAATTTCTTCTTCCAAACGAGAGTATAAAAGGAATAAAATGTTTGACCACATGTAGTTTTGAATATCCTCTAATGACACAAAGCAAAGTAGCTTTCTCGCTGCGGAGCTGTATTCCCCAGTGACCTAATTATGTCCCTCTCACGTTGGCAGGATCTTTGACAACAGCATCCTGGAACTCCAGGATACAAAAGCCTTTTCTTTACTATCAGACCCCTATGAAAACCTTATTCAAGTCTTTCAAAACTGCAGTGAGAAAAGCTGACATGAATATAAGTAAAGCACAACAGGAATCCAAAATCTGCCAAGAAGGGAAGACAGAATAGGGAAAAATCAAAGGTTTATAAACAGCTATGGGACTTCAGTTCAGCTAAGGAGATAACTACCACCAAAAAAAAGAAATGAGGGGAACCTCTAAGAAACAGAACACAAGGACAGAATAATAAAAAAGCTCATGTGCTAGGAATCAAGAAACACAGCTCTAGGATGATAGACAAAGGGCAAGGACGGCCAGAAACTTGTCTAAATTCTGAAGGTTTTAAAATAAATATCAGAAGATTCAGACAAGTGAATAATGAAACCCAAATCATTAAGAATGAATCAGTTCCATTTACAAACTTCTCTGAAACAGAAACAGTTTTCCAAATCTGATTTCCTATGTTCTTCTTGAAACATAATCTCATAAATTAAAAAAATCTGCAGTAAAGCTTCACACTCCTTCACTGAAGAAATCGATGCATAGAATACATTTATTAAACTCTACTTACACTATTTTTGCGGTACCTTCACAGAAGTTGACACGCAATGTCACTGGCTTTGTGCGATACAGTCTACACTTTTTTGCTCTGTATGGGATCTGCATAAATGCTTCCAGTGCAACCCGAATGCTTAAAAAGAAAGCAGAAATAATCCCATTTTACCGGAGAATAAAATCTGCTCTGAAGTCAGTGGTCTCATACACATCCTTCCGTTAACCTGTGCATGACACCACAGTACTTCCAGAAGTTTGGCTCCCACTGAAACAACTGTTTTGTTTCTGGTTGCTACCAGGAGCAATTAAGGAGCAGATACACTCCAGGTAAGAACACACTTCCTATTTACTCAAAACCTTTCTGATCCTTTGCCACTACAGTTGGAAGTCTTTTCACTATATAATACCATATACACCCCCAGGCACTGCATATTACATTTCGCAATTATCACTTCTGTGTGAGAAACCAGGTACGAGTAACATACCTGAGCAAGACGGAAGTCTAATAAATACACTAATCCGCATTTGTACTCATTTTCCTAAAAATAATTTATTCTTTATAAAGCTATCACTAGTGTGTTAATCTTATCCTTTACACCTGGTTTGGTTGGAAACTTTAATAACCAGCAAGACACAGTATATAGCAAGCTTTTAAGATCCATGTATTTTATCATTTCTGTTCAAATGCTGATTTTGCAACAAAAAAGGCAGTAAATCACACATTTACTTCTAGTTGAACATATTTTAAACTCAGGGCATTGTCAAGTTGTTTCCCAATAAAGTAACATTCAATTTTAGAACACTAAGGAACCTTATTATAAAATATTTTAAAATAAATCTTAAGTTAAATAATTCTGTGGACTACCACAAAAAATCCATTTGTTAAAGCTTCTTGAACAAAAGTTGCATATTTATTAAATAACTTTAAATCTAGCAAAAACTGGAACAGTAATTTTTTAAAACACATTTTTCATTATTTTAGAAACAGTAGGTTTCACAGTGGTTTTATTAAAAACTGGGAACCTGTGACAACGTGCCTTTTTTGCACTGTGCGAAGACAGTCAATGCAAGCAAACAAGCTAGTAAACTGCAGTGGGGAAAAACCCTCAG